TGGCTCACAAATGTTTAACCAAACCTTTGGGCCTTAATACACACTCTTATGTCCGACTGCCTACTTGTTTGCTCCTGTTGGGTTCCTGAAATATCATGGGTACCTCTTCAGTCTGGATTTTAAAACGTGAATCAAATTATTTTCCTTCTAAAAAACCTTTTTATCATTTTCCATTATATCAATTTTTTCTTTTTTTAAAGACTTATTTATTAGAGTTGGCGCAGTGGCATTGTGACTACAAGCACTGGCATCCCGTATGGGCAGCAGTTCTTTCCTGGCTGCCCCACTTCCAATCCAGCTCCCGACTAATGTGCCTGGGAAATTAGCAGAAGATGACTTAGGTTGTTGGACCCCGGCATCCAAGTGAGAGACGCACAGGAAACTTTCTGCCTCTGGAATGGCTCACCTCGGCCGTTGTAGCCATTTGGGGAGTCAACCAGCAGATGAAAAACCTCTCTCCCTCCACCATTTCATCTCTATAGAATCTGTCTTTCAAATAAAAATAATAATAAATCTTAGAAAAAGATTTGTTTGCTTGGAAAGTGGAGTTACAGAGAGCAAGTAACAGAGATCTTCCGTTTTCTGATTCACTCCCAGAATGACCACATCCTCCAAGGCTGGTCCAGCTTGAAGCCAGGAGGCTCAGCTGGGTCTCCCATGGAGAGGCAGGGGCCCAAGTCTTCCACTGTTTTCCCAAGCGGACCACAAGTGGACTGCAAGTGACCACAGGTGGAGCAGCCGGGGCTCAAGCTGGTTCCCTTATGGGAGCATCAGCTCCGTGCTGGCTTCTACATCCAGACTTTTCACCATGGCCACAATGCTCTGTTTGATTTACGCCTTGTCTACCAGCTCTCCCATCTGTGGGAGCCATGCAAAGTACCTGATGGGCTGGGAAAGTACTGCGCTAATGGAAATGGAAGCTTCCCAGCTTGCAAATGGCCTGTCTGGGAGAAGCCATTGGAAGAAGATAAAATAGCCGACCTGGGAGGAGGCTGCCATTACATAAGCTCTCAGCGAAGTAATTTTGGATCAGCTCAGCTCTGACCTTTGCAGTCATTTGGGGAGTGAACCAGCAGATGGAAGATTCTGTCCTCCCTGCAACACTACCTTTCAAATAAAATAAATGAACAAATCTAACTGTACTAACTCTGCTTTGGTGGATTCTATGCCCATAACACCAGCCCTGATTGCTTCCCATGACATTGTGGTCCTCTCATGAATGGAAACTGGCCTCTGACATGGGTCATGGCAGGCAGTGGTAGCTCATCGTGGTCAAGCCACACTCACCATTACCCTGCCTCCTGGACCCTACCAGATTTGTAAATAGGACAGTGTCCCTTACAGCAGGGAACCTGGAGCAGTACTGCCCTTCTATATATTGCAGGGCCACCCTGCCACCAGAGACCCCAACCTCAAAATAATCCAGTAGGCCAGCAAATGTCCCTGACCGCCTTGACTACAGGAACCCAGAGAGTCACGGAGAAGATGGGGAGGGCTTTGGGAGGCAATTCCCTCCTGATTGATGGGGCCCAAAGGCCACACTGACTCCATTTTCCATCTCCATGTCTGGGTCTCAGGTCACCCTGGAGGCAGCAGATGGAATTCCTAATGGACATGGGAGCTACCCGCTCTATTACTTTCCCTGGATTTTTCTCTCAGACCTCAAACCTTCTTGCCAGCATGCACAGCCAACTCAGTCCTGGCTGCTTTACAATCCCTGCCCCAATCCCCAATTTAAAGTACACCCCGGGAGAATATAAACTCATACCTTTCTTGTCGTACCTACTTGCCCTACCCAACTACTTAGAAAGGACATTATGATTAAGCTTTGTACTATCTCCGCTTGTCTGAGCTTACCTGCCTGCCCTTTATTGGCACTGTTGACCCCTATGATGCCAAGTCCTCCAACAGGTCCCTCCACAGGTATGGGATAGGGTGCTTCTGTGTCCTGCCAGTTCCTATTTGCCTTTCTGGGGCAGGAGCTTTCCATCCAGGTCACACAGCCATTGACCTGGATGATCCTCCCCCTGATGCTTACTCAGAAGGCACTGTCCAAAGATTTCTCTGCCAACCCTCCAGCTCCCCTATGTGAGTGCATTGTTGGAATAAGCCAATAGTTTGCTTATATGCAGCCCATGAGAAGAAACCTTGAATCCAAATATTATGGTGTTGTAAAAATTGGCTTCTCGTGGCTATAATATCTCCTCCCACTAGGGCTCATATCTTTTCACCAAAGAATCAAATTCCTGAGACTTGATACCCCCAGAATAGAGTGTCACTTAGACCACTGCAGGAACCTTACTTGCAGTACAGGAACCCCGTCAATGAAGCAGCCACTGTGTTTCCTCCTTAGCATGGCAGGCTTTTGCTAAGTTTGGGTGCCCCAGTTTGGGCTTTGGCCAACTCCTTCTATGAGGCTGTCTGGGAACCTGAGGAAGAACCCTTTGAATAGAGTCTGGAAATAGACAAGTTGTCAAAGTCCTCTCATAGGCTCTTATCATGGCTCCTGCCAGAAATACGGAGGCCGCTGTATCTGCTCATTCACAAAGGAGAGGGCCTCACGCTTGGAGTCTTAACTCAGTTTCTAGTGTTCTCCCTGCCTTTGACATTGGCACCTGTGGCTCAGCTAGTTAAAGAGGCTTCAAACTGACTCAGAGAAAAGGAATGGCTGTCTACACACCCCACCAGGTGACATCTTCAATTACAAGACTGTCCACTCGTCTCACATAGTAGAATCCAAACCCACTTCCAACAACCCCCTGAGCTGAACATCAAACCATACTAAATCCTTGATCCTGCCACCAAAATTCACCAGAATCTTCATACAAATGCTCTTTCCTACAAACCCCAGATTTAATCATGCAAGAAGAGATCCCCAAGATACACCTGCTGCCAGCCCTGAGCCTGGTTCAGAGCTGTCAGGAGCTGCTTACAAGAGGGGATTCAGTCACCAGGTGTGCTGTTTTCAACCTTGCTGAAACACAGAATCAAGGCACCTTCCAGGGGCCACCACCTCAGCACAAGGAGCTGAGCCCAGTGCCCTCCCGGGAGCCCAGTGCCCTCCCGGGAGCCCAGTACCCTCCTGTGAGCCGTGCAATTAGACAGGTAACATCTCTTCATCCTGGGCTTGGGCCTTCCATGCTCATGCTGCCTTCTGGTGAGATGGTCTCCTGACACTCCGGACGCCCCCATCGAATATGCCTTAAGTGGTCCTCCCAGGGGCTCTCCTGCTCATAGCTCAGGTTGCTGTACCCATAGCAAAGCTCACCAGACAGGTGATACTTGATTTCCAGAGGAAACAAGGGTGAGAAACAGTTCAGTGCAGCCATCAGACTGCACCCTCAAGTCACTGTGGTTCTCAACTGACCGTTTCTCCTCCCAGTACACCCGAGAAGAATCCCCAAAGACTAGCCAAGGGGATCCAGTGACAGCGTTCTACTGCCAGGGAAAAATACAATAGATTCCCAAACGACCCCCAGCACACTATTCATCTGGGGGCTAAAACCCTCCAGGATTTGGTGCAAGGGTTTGCCACAAACCCTGCAAGCTATCCCTCATGAATGCCTCACATGCCACCACACACACCCAAAGGAAGCCCATGAACTTCCCATTGTCCTTCAGCCAACCCAAAGTCAAGAGCCAGGCCTGGCAAAGGCTGGCAAACAGGTCTCACACACGTGCCTTCCTGCAGTAGGCTTCCTACCTGCTGATACTGTGGACACCCTTAGTGAATGGGTGCGGGCATTCTCTAAGAGGGCTGGAAGGCCTCAGGGCTTGTGGCAGCCTCCCTGGACCTAGCCTCTCTTGCTGCAGGCTCACCTGTTCCTGCATTGACAACAGTGCACCCTTCCCCTCCCGCCCGCTGCCAGAGGCCATCAGGGCACCTGCATGCGGCCAGGCGGATCACCAGAGGCTCCTCACAGCTAATGCCAGAGGTGCCATGCCCGCGGGTGACACATTCCTGAAATCCCACACTTCCCCAGGATCTGAGAGACGTCACAGCGCGTCAGGACTGTCACTGAGTACACCTTCCTGCAGAGTGGCCTCTTAGAGCATGGCGCAGGATGGCCAGGCCCCCAGGGCCAACTACAAAACCTGTAAGGAGCTATCCAAACCAGTGTAACCCTAGCCCCATCCCACCTTCTCCGGCCACATGCACCCGTATGTGTGCCTGGAGGCAAGGACAGCCGGAGGGTGCAGAGGTTACAGTCTTGCATGGCAGCCTCCTCACTGTTAGGGTAAGTTTGGTTTGTGTTTTTGCAGTCCAGTGGGTTTTCCCAGTGGTAATTTGCCTTCGTGGGCAGAGCTAGGGAGATTATATTGCTGTCAGCCAGCGAGTTTCCTGCCTGCCAGGTGTCTCTGGGGAGTGACCTGCACACTAGTTAGCTGCCAACGTCTGGGACCAGATCCCAGTTCTTTCCGTGAGCACTCTAAGTGGGACTGGACTGTCAACTCCCCACCGTCGGGCCAAACAAGCCAAATGCCTGGGGTTTCCTTTAGGAAAATAACCCAGTGACTGAAGCATACCTTAGCTGGGCTCCTCAGGACTGCAGGGCCTTTCCTGCTCCTTTAATTATTTTTAAATATTTAGTTTTAATGTTTACATAGTTGAGAAGAATGTGTGCCCGTGTGGGCCACTGACAAGGGTGGGGAAGGTTGAGATATGGAGGACAAAAGTGAAACAGACCAGTATTTCCATTTTTTGCACTATGATGCATGTTCCAAGTCTTCTGCCCAGGTGGTTTGGATAGTTCTGCAATGCTGTCGATTTTGTCCATCCAAGGGTTAGACAGCCCTCCCAATGCCCATTGGCTAACATAGGCAACCTATAGTCTCCACTCACCCAGATTTTTGCTGTCATTGTCTGCAGGGGTAGTTGTCCAGTTTGCTCTGTTCTCCTTCCCCTGCAGTGGTACCAAGTGGGCTGCCATGTTCTCCATGTGCATCAGAGTCTGTGTCCACAGCTATGCCATTTTCACTTGGAGGCAGGACCAAGGACCAGGGTTAGGTGTCATGAGCCTTGTCTGGTCCCCCACTCCCAGGGCTCACAAACCTGGCACCTACCTCACAGATAGGCCTCAGGACCTGGGCCAGGCAACCCAAGTCCTGCCAAATCCATCCCTGCCCCAAGGCTCACGAACCAGGCACCCACCTCGCAGGTGGGCCATTGGAGGCAACCCGAGCCCCACTGGATCTCCTACCCTCAGGGCTCACAAACCCAGCACCCATATTGCAGGTGGGCTCCAGGACCTGGGACAGGTGACCCAAACCCCACCAGATCCCCCACCTTTGGGGCTCACAAACCCAGCGTCATCTGGCCCCAGGCTGGCATGGCTTGCCTTCCCTCAGAATCCACAATCACGTTGCCCCAGTGTAAACTGACTGGTGTTGTGGCCTGACCTGGCTCCCCCGTCCCCAACACCCCTCCCTGTCCTGGTTCTCAGATCTACCAGTGGATGTTATGAATTGTCCCAACCTGGTCTGTCCCCAGACCTGACCCACATGTATGCCAGCAGGTACTGTAACCTGGCATGGTCAGGGCTGCTCCTTGACTTGGCTCTTGCACTCACCTATAAGGCTGTGTCCTACAAGGGAGTTTCCCAAGCTCCTCTGTTGGGTCTCCTCCCAGTGGCAGATCTCATACACACCACTGCGTCCTTGGCCCAGGCTGACTTTGTCCACCTCTGGTCCTGCCAGGCATAGTGGCCTTGCTCAATCAGCCTACATTCATTCTGGTTCTTACTGCTGGGTGTTGTAGCCCAGCCCATTTTACACCCACCCTGGAGCTCATGAGTCCCAGTGGTGCTAGAGTGTAGCCGAGCCTGTTGCTCCCCAGACCCAGTAGACACCCATGCTGAGGGAGACTGTAGATATGTCCAGCCAAACCTGCTTTCCTCAACCTGGTTCTCATGCTCACTGGAGGGAGACTACAGCCATGTCCAGTCTGCTACCCTCAGTCGGCTCTTGTGCTCACTGGTGGGAAACTCAGCTTAGCTGGGGCGTGCCCTTAGCTCCCCAGCCAGGCCTGTTCCCATCCAAAGTTCTTGGGCATGTCAGTGGAGATTGCACTGTCACAGGAACCCAAATCATTCTTAAGCTAACCATTGGGATTTGTGCTTGCACAGGGTTGTGCCCACAAATCCCCCATGGAATCTACCCCTGGGCCTGGTTCTCTTGCATGCTGGTAAGTGTCATGGCCCTACCTAAAGTGACCCATCCCCTATTCCAACACCCAGTCAGGTTCTGGGCTCTAGCCCTGCCAGACAGGCCTCTAGTGCTATTTTGCATGGACCAGCATGTGGTGGTCAGCAATGTACCATGCTAAGAAGCCCAACCCAGGACTTCAATGTAGGCTGGTGCCTCTGTCTGACCAGTTTAGGTCTTCTGGTCTCTCCCCTCCTCACCACTGGGTCTCAATCCCCTCACTTAGCTGCAAGTGACCCTGTTGTCAGAGTCCCTCAGGAGTCATTTCTCACCTATACATATGGTTGCCTCATCCTTGGATGTCCCTAGTTAGTAATTCATCACCCCCAAGTCCCCAGTTTGTCACCAAGCTGTCAGCAGGCTTTGCCTGGTGCTGTTGGTGCACTGGCCATCCGGGCCGAGCATGACTGCAGCCCATGCTTTGAATTCCAGGCTCCAGAGCTTGGCCCCGCCTTTCTCACCAGCCAAAGCTGTTGGTGGGTGGGATGTCTGGATTGATTGTGTGTCCAGCCCGGTTCAAGATGGCACCACTCCATCCATTTCTTAAGCAGAGTTGGATCAAGATAACTGGGTAATTATTCGATATGATTTTATCCATCTAGTGAAGTAAAATAATAGTATTAATGGAATTAACACGTTTCTCGATTCTCCGTGGTGTCTAACATCCCACATCAACACCAACACAGCACCTTTTCTTGACTTCAGGTAAATCGCCTCATTTCCCACCCATGTGAGTTTGCAATCTAAGTGTCGAAACTTACTCTAGATTCTCTTACACACATCAGTGGACATCTGTGATACGAATCGTGGGTCATCACAGATGACCCTTCTAAAAATGACATCATTGTTCATGAATTCATTTGTGCTTATTGTTGCAGCTGGTATTTCCCACCATATGTTTCTCTCATCCCACCTAAGGATTTAGAAAGTTACATATCACACTATTCTAATGATTTTACAATTTGACTATTAGTGAGAATACTCCATAATTTTCTAATCTAACCACAGAACTATTTAGAACAAAGATATGGAGATGTTACTTTTCAGGATTTTTGTAATATTAAGTGATGATTTTTTTAAAAAAGGATCTGTTTATTCATTTGGAAGTCGGCAATGGAGAGGCAAAAACAGGAAGAGGAAAAAAAAGAGATGTTCTATCTGCTGGTTCACCGCGCCATGACCACACAGCTGTGGCTGTGCCAGCCTGGAGCCAGGAGCCATGGGTGGCAGGGCTCCAAACACTTGGGACATCTGCTGCTGCTTTTTCTAGACCATTCACAAGAAGCGGGGTCAGGAGTGGAGTGGCTGGAACATAAACTGGTGCCCACATGGGATGGCTGCATCACAGGTGGTGGCTTTACTCGCTAGGCCACACACAGGCCTCAGTGGTAAAATTTTTTAATGAAACACACACACACACGAGATGTTCAATTATTGCCCTAAATGAAACAAGTTGAAAATATGCTGACTAGGGGCAGGCGTTTGGCAAGGCCGTTAGGACAGTGGTTGGGAGACCCACACTCCATGTTGGTGTGTGTGGTTTTGGTCCTGGCTGGTCCTACTGACATATACTGGAGAGGCTGCAGAGGATGGCTCAGGTGCATGGGTGCCTGCCCTCTTTGTGGGAGACCCACGTGGAGGTTCAGGCCCCCAGCTTGGGCCTTTCCCAACCCTATTTTAGGTATTTTGAGGAGTGAGCCAATAGATGAAACATTTTCCCTTAGTGTCTTGGTTTCTGTCTTCCAAATAAAAATGAAACTTTTTAATGCTAAATATATATGTTGAACATGAACTTTTCATGGTTCTCTTTGGAAAGAGGGAGCAACTCAGAGGAAGTGGAATATTTGATGATTTTTGTCAAGTATGTTTAGAAAAATGGTGCATCACAGAGAAAAATTAAGGGTCTGGTACAAGTATTGATTTTGTTTGAGTTAACGAATATTCTGAAATACCCAAAACTTTTTAAAATGACATATAAATCATAATTCTAATACAAATTCTAATATAAACTTAAAATCGATTCATAAATTTTCTGATTTCTTGTTATAAAGGCAGCAATAAATAAAATCAGTATACGTGTACATTCATGATATTTATCAAATATTTCTATTTGGTGTCATTATCGCTGTTGGAACTATTGCTGTCCTCATAAATAGAGGTGTTTCTAACTGAAGACACCATCACATCTACGATGCTTTTTTTGGGATTTTCTTCCAAATCGGTCTGCACTGCTCCAACTTCTGCTAGCTTCCATTCAAGTTCTGCAATGTATAACCCAGTATAGTCAGATAAAACAATCTAATAAAGAAACAGAAAAAAATCTGTATGAAAATGTAAGTTGACACTAATAAAATTAATGCAGAAATGATAAGCAAAGATGGATAACAATGAAAGTATTAACATATCAAGGGAACACTGGAGACAGCAAAGTTATACCAAATGGGAGACACTATCTTTAAAATCACTATTTTAGGGCCCGGCGCGGTGGCGCAGTGGTTAAGGTCCTTGCCTTGCACGCCTGGGATCCCATATGGGCGCTGGTTCTATCCCAGCAGCCCCGCTTCCCTTCCAGCTCCCTGCCTGTGGCCTGGGAAAGCAGTCAAGGACGGCCCAAAGCTTTGGGACCCTGCACCCGCGTGGGAGACCCGGAAGAGGCTCCTGGCTTGGGATCGGCATAGCATCGGCCGTTGCGCTCACTTGGGGAGTGAATCATCGGACGGAAGATCTTCCTCTCTGTCTCTCCTCTCTGTATATCCGCCTTTCCAGTAAAAAAAATAATAATAATAAAAATAAATCTTTAAAAAATCACTATTTTAAAATGATTGTGAGTAACTAGCTTGAAAGTCAAAAAAGTTAGGCAAAGAGTTATAAAGTGAACCTAAGGGTAACTGGAAGGATGTAAGGAAGAAAATATTTTAGTAAAAATAGCAAAGCCAAAAGCAAGGGATAACCAACAAAATCAGAACTTTAAAGACAGAGACACATCTGAAGCAAGCAAAGAAGAGAAACCAAACAACAAAGAATTGGCATGGGATGGTATCAGTGACGAGATAACATTTCAAATATGTCCCAGAAAGCAAGCCTAGATAGAATAATAACAAAAGAATTGACCTGATATCCAAAGATGCCCTGTCAATGCATGTTCGTAAAGTTTATTATTATAGGCCTGGTACAGTAGCCTAGTGGCTAAAGTTCTTGGCCTTGCACATGCCAGGATACCATATGAGCACCAGTTCGTGTCCCAGCCGCTCCACTTGCCATCCAGTTCTCTGCTTATGGCCGGGGAAAGCAATCGAGGATGGCCCAAAGCTTTGGGACCCTGCCCGTGCATGGGAGACCTGGAGGAGGCTCCTGGCTTTGGACTGGCTCAACTCCCGACATCGTGGCCACTTAGTCACTTGAGGAGTGAATCAGCAGATGGAGGATCTTCCTTTCTGTCTCTCCTCTCTGTATATCTGACTTTCCAATAAGAAATAAATAAACCTTTTTAAAATGTATTATTACTAAGTACTAGTATAGAATCTTATACGGAAAACTACAAAATCAAATTTTAAAACAAGGATCAGAATAAATAACAAGCTGTATTTCACCCTGGATGCACCAGGTACAGGGATGGGGGCCGTGCTTCTCCAGCACCCGACATGCTTGGTTCTCGTAAGAATTCTGTGGGCTCTTTCGCTTGACTAATTCCAACAATTTTGAAAAATTCTGAAAAAGATTTTCCCTAGTAGAGATAATTTAATAAGGCTACAGTAATTACCGTCACATTAAAATAGAATTGCTGTATGATCCAGAAATTCCACTTCTGGGAAATCTAATGCCAGCAGAATTAAGCAGACGCTCTGACAGCTGTCTGCCAGCCGTGTTCAAAGCAGCGACATCCACAGCAGGCCAGGCGGGGGCAGCCCAGGTTCCCATCTCTGGGTGAATGTATTAGTCTTACAAAGGAAGGGAATTCTAATAGAGCCACAGCATGAAGGAGTCTCGAAGATAATACAGAAAAATGACAATTACTGTGTGACTGCATTTGCATGAAGTATGTAGTACAATTGGTAATTTGCAAAGACAGAAAACAGGATGGTGGCTGGGAGCCAGGGGAATGGGAAGGTGTTTCATAGGTTAGAATCTGAGTTCTGTATGATGAAAAACCTTTTGGAGCTTGTTTGCACAATGTCAATTTTTTTTTAATATTTCACTTTTTGGATTTTTTTAAATTTTAATTTTGTAATTGGAAAGGCAGGTATACAGAGAGGAGGAGAGGCAGAGAGGAAGATCTTCTGTCTGCTGGTTCACTTCCCAACTGGCTGGAGCTGAGCCGATCCAAAGCCAGGCGCCCAGATCCTCTTCCTCCTGGTCTCCCACGTGGGTGCAGGGTCCCAAGGCTTTGGGCTGTCCTCAACTGCTTTCCCAGGCCACAGGCAGGAGCTGGATGGGAAGTACAGCAGCCGGGACATAAAACAACACACATATGGTATCCCGGCAGATGCAAGGTGAGGACTTTAGCCACTAGGCTACTGCAGCACACCTCCACAATGTCAATTCAATACTACAGAATTGTATATTCAAAGTGGTTAAACAAAGTCGATTAAGCTGCCTGCATCCATAGTGGAATGCCTAGGTCCTCTGCACTTGCAGCTTCCCAGTCATGCAGTGGGGCCGCAGCACGTGGCAGCCCAAGTGCCCGAGGTCCAGCAGGCCTTGTGGGAGCTCTCAGCTGCAGCCTGGCCCAGCCTGGCTACTGGGAACATATGGGGAAGCAAACCCATCTATAGAAGATATCTCTCTCTCACTTTCTCTGGTACTCTGCCTTTCGAATAAACAAAGTAATTTCTAAAAGTAGTGCATTAAAAAAAAATCAGTGGCAAGTGTGATTTGGATGCACAATGTCAACCCCAGCGTTGTTCAAGACCTAACTGGATAAATAAAACTGGAAAGAAAATACAGAGCAATATCTTTCACCTTAAGAATACGCAAGTATTTTTAAAGGAAAGTACAAAAGGTATAAAATAAAGAAAAAGATTAGTTTTGATTATGCCAAAACTGTACTTTTTATCTGATAATAAGAGTGAAATGATAAGCCATGATATCAAAACTTAACATTCATACACTTAGAATTCAGTGAAACAACAGAAGTGAAAAATGCTCAAAGTGTGTCAGGTGTTAGGAGCGGTAACCAGAATGGCGAGTATGTGGAAAGATGCTTAGCCCCACTAGCGATCAGCTAAGTCCAACCTGAACCAGGGCCAAGACGCGACGTATACACCGCACTGACGAAGACCTGGCAGCTGCGAATACCAAGACCTGGCAAAGATGTTGGCAATTGGCAACTCTTATAGCTGATGGGATAAAGCAATAGTATCCCGGGCACTGTGCCAGCTGCCTGTGCTACCCTCTGACCTGATCACCTCCCATATAGCTGAGAAATTTCCATGAGTGGACACAAGGATGGTCGCAGCAGAATTGGCTATCAAGAGAAAACTAAAAACACCTCACCTGTCAGGTCATTGAGGTATATCTGATATTAGAATTTTAGACAGGATTTAAAATTACTGAATCAGACATATATTAAAAACTTGAGAGATTTTGAAAACTGCTACATTTGGGGGGAAAACAACAACAATGCAATGTATTGCATTGCTTCAAATTTTTAAGATAATCATTTGTTATGTTTCTGTGAATATAGAGAAGTTCCCGTGTAAAAACCAGATAGTTCCTCAAGACTTTTAGAGTAGGATTGGCATGCAATCCAGCAATTCCACTCCTTGTATATTCCCAGAATACAACCCAGAGATTTTAATAGATTTGTAAGCAAAAGGTAGAAGTAACTTGATTGTTAACTCATCAACAGATGAGTGGAGACAGAAAATGTGCTCTGTGCCCACAGTGACTGACGCGGTGTTCTGACACGTGTTGCAACACGGATGATCCTGGGTCATTGTGCGAAGTGCAGTAAGTTAGTTACCAGAGGAGGAACTGTGATTTCTGCTATGTAAGACATTTAGAGCAGTCAACTTCACAGCGAAAGAAAGTAGAACGGGTGTGGCCAGGGGCTGGAGGATGGGTACAATGAGGAGTTGTTGTTTAAGGGACACTGGGCTTCAGTTATGCAAGATGAAAAGATTTCTGGAAATCGACACGGGAGTGTCCTTAATGTTAACAACTGCGTACTTAAAACACGGTGTAAGTGGTAAATTCTATGCAGTGTGCATTTTAGTACAAGTTTTAAACTATATCCATACATTCATCTGTTATCACTTTTCAAGAAAATAAGCAAACAAATTTCCAAAGGAAACACAAGCCAGGATGCACAATTGGTAGTCTGGATGACTGTTGTGGTCTTGAATGTTTGTAGTCTAGGTCCTGTATGGGGTGGAAGCCTCATCCCCAGATATTGGGACCAGGTGGGGCTTTAGGGAGATGACTGGGTCATGAGGAGAAGCCTCAGAATGGGCCTGGTGTTCTAAGAAAAGGGGCCCATGGGAGCTCATCTGCCCCCTTTGCTGTGGGGGGGATGCAGTGAACAGTCCGCACCTGAGCCAGAGCTGTGGCACACCCCTGTGCCCGCAGCACCTGCACGCACGTCAGAACAACTGTTCAAGTCCCCGCTGCTCTGCTTCGGGTCCAGCTTCCTGCCAATGCGCCCGAGGAAGCAGTGGAAGAGGGCCCCGTGCCCTGGATACCCGGATGGCTTCAGCCTGCCCCTGCACTGGCTGCTGCAGTCGTTTGGGGAGGGAACCAGTGGATGGCGAAACTCTCTCTGCCTTCAAACAAACTTGCTAGAAGTAATTAAAAAGGTCGACATTTATGGGGACCCTCACCCAACACCGGATCTGCCTGCACCTTGAGTCTGGACTTGCCAGCCCCCAGAGCTGAGAGAAATAAATGCTTCTTGTCAACAGCTATACAGTGTATGGTGTTTTTGTAACAGCCCAAATAGACTTAAGATAATAACAATTTCAGGAGTGTTTGTTGTATTACTCTTTAGACTCTTGTAGGTTTTTTTGTTTGTTTGTTTTTTAATTAAAGGAAAGATCCCAGGTGCTTGGGAAGCTTAGTGACTGGGAGAAGGAAAGTGGGGAGAGGGGCATAAACTCTGAGCAGTTGAAGAACAGAGGTCTCAGTGCAGCCAACGGCAGTTTTGGGAAGTTGAGAAAACAGAGGAATAGCTGCTGAAAACAGCCACTCCCAGAGGACTTGCCATGATACTCAGAGAAAAAGATCTTCACTTCAGTAATATAGAGTAGTTCCAAGAACTTGGCAAAGCAAACAGCTAACCTTAGGAAGTAAAACTCATTAAAGCAGGTAAAAATACAAACTCCCATGCTGTGTGCCAAGAAAAAGATAAAGGAGACGCCCTGCCCTTGTTAGAAGACACTCCAAGGGCATTGAGCAACCATGGAATCAGACAGCAGGCAAATCAGGGAAAATAAAGGGCATCTTATAGCAAATTCATGCTATAGAAATTCAACAGAGAAGAGGAATAAAGCTTACGAATTAGGGTTACATAAGGGGATAAACAAAAATTAGCAAGACCTACAGGAATAAAGTTTGAACATGGAGAACAGAAAAGAGTGAGGTATTTTAGATACAAGGCCAGAGTACAGAACAAAGCGTGATGGTACAAACGGGTAAGGTGTTTCCGGAGGTTCTGGTTGAGGAACGGCCTAAGCAGAAAAGGAACTAGAAAGGCACTGAGAATTATCGACGGAAAGGTAAATTCTTAACCTGAGGCTTTTAAGCAAAAGGTTGGCATGATGTATGTAATAGTAAGAATATTAATCTGGAGACGTATGGGAAGAGACTAGAAATAAGGAAAAAAAACCCTGTGTTTTGAGAAAATATACTTGATGGCATTGCTAATTCATGGACATTTTCACTTGTAATTTTTATGAACAAATTTTTAAAATAAAACGATTACCTTCTAGCTTGAGATTTATCCCTCCACATTCTGTAACTCCAATGAGTTTGCCTTCTATCTGACCATTTTTATAAACAAAGATTGTTGGTAAACAATTGTCGTGGTAGTGTTGAATGCAGCTGTTCACAATGGCTTTAACAAACTTAGTTTCTGGAAACTTTCTTGCTAGGAGACTAAGATGCTGGTTAACCAACAAACACATTGGGATGCTAAAAAAGAAAGCAGTACACAATGTTTTTTAAACTATTCATCACAGTCTAATAAAATAAGTTCAACATCCCCCAAACAAAAGCCTGGCTTTGATAGCTTAAATGTAAAAGCTGTCATTATCACCCTCCACTGTTGCCTCCACCACAGCCAGCCAGGTATAGACGCCGCTGTTTTACTGCCAACCGTGTTGGTCTGGGAATGAAGCTAACTGTGCAGGGAATCTGAGCCATAACTCAGGCAAACTACGTCCACCCACATCAGCTGAGGGTCAGTGTGGTTCAAGCTGATGTTCGGTTTCTGAGACAGAAAAACCAAACAGCAACTAGACAGTCTTTCAGTTCCTGGTTGAAACGTAGGGATTCCAACCCCTTGTCACTGCCATGAAATAAACACATCCCACTTCCTTAACTCTAGGTCACATCCTTGACCCTATTATCCTGGTCTAGACCTCATCCGTAAACTGAATGCATCCAAAAGACTATGGCAGTATCGCAGGGATCAGGCGAGCAGGGATGCTCTGAAGACAATGCCAACAGTGGGCCATGGGCAGGAAACCTGTGCTCCAGTTCAGGACCCAGAACATTCAACTACAGAAGAGCTATAAAACTGCAAGGAAGACCTCGGCCATCGGAAGACAAATCAAGGGCCTGCCTGTGGTAGCCAAGGTCCACAGTATGCTTTTGGGCATAGTAATAACACAAATGTGCCAAACTGAAGAGCATGTGCAGGTGTAAGGAGGACTGGCTAAAACCAGACGTAAGACTGACTGCAAGCTGAGCCTCAGTCGCTCACCAGCCCAGGACAAGTTAGATTCCACCAAGGCTTCTCAAACAGGCTGAGCCTTCACCTCAATGACAGACGGACCCAGCTGTAATAAGTCAGTGGCATACACCCACTACAATTCCAGAAATTTAGGAGCCCTGATAAAGCCAGTCGTAATCTTTCTGTAAAATTAATAAAAAATAACTAGAAACAAATTTGTTTGACTTCACTTTGCACAATTAAAATATTATGGGTAAATCAATTGCTTTTTAAAATTTTTATTTTAAAGATTTAATTATTTTTATTAGAAAGCCAGATTTACAGAGAGGAGGAGAGACAGAGAGGAAGATCTTCCATCTGCTGGTTCCTTCCCCAACTGGCTGCAATGGCCAGAGCTGAGCTGATTCAAAGCCAAGAGCCAGGAGCTTTCTCCAGGTCTCCCACAGAGGTACAGGGTCCCAAGGCTTTGGGCCATCCTTGACTGCTTTCCCAGGCCACAAGCAGGGAGCTGGATGAGAAGTGGGCCAGCCAGGGTTAGAACCAGCACCCATATGGGATCCCAGTGTGAGGTGAGGACTTTAGCAGCTTGGATACCTCGCTAAGCCTCCAGCTGCTCCGCTTCTAATCCAGTTCTCTGCTCCTGCACCTGGGAGCGCAGCCGAGGATGACCCAGGTGCTTGGGCTCCTGCCCTCATGGGAGCAGTGAGAAAGAAGCTGCAGGCTCCTAGCTTTGGCCTGGCCCTGCCCTGGTCATTGAGGCCATTTTGGAGACTGAAACAACGGATGGAAGCTCTTCTCTAACTTGTTTTCCAAATAAATAAAATATATCTTAAAAATTAAAAAACCTATACCCAACTCTCATTGGTGGGTATTGTAGGTGGTTCCAGGTCCATGAATCCCGGGGACAGGGGATCCAGGGGGTTCTCATCGTTGGCCTGGGTCCTTTGGCCTGCCTTCAAGTGAAAAAGGCAGAGCAGTGGACACACACCCTGATCCATAGGGAGAATACGGCAGCCCATTGGGTACCATGGCAGAGGAAGGAGAACAGAGCAAACTGGACAACTACCCCAGCAAATGACGGCAGCAAAAATGTGAATGGAGACTGGAGGTCGGCTACATCAGCCAATGGGCATTGGAGGGTTGCCTCACCCTCGGACGGGCGAAACTGACAGCACTTTAGAACTATCCAAACCACTGGGCAGAAGCCTTGGAACAGGCACCACAGTGGGACCCTGGGCTGATGCTGGGTGGTGGTTCCCCATCCCTGGTACTGAGACATTTGGGAGGCAGGGTGTGGCTTTGCCCTTTACCTCTCCCCTTCCCCAAGAAACAAGAAGAAATAGCAAATTTGGAAACAATGATTTTACCCACTTTTCCCTAACCCTCAATCCTTCCCACCATGATCAACCTTGTAATCATTATCAAAAAACTTTTAAAAAAAATTTAAACCTACTTATTTGCCTAGAAATAATCATGAAATAATTTTATCATTATGTTAGAAGCATTCAGATGCAGTATCAATTACAGTAATCTTAAAGTGTCAGAAAAAATAACATTAAATTACTTTTTTCTGTAACATTTTTCACAGACATCCCAGTTTTGTAAATGTCCGTGTTTATCACCCTTGTTTCTCACAGTTACTAGCAGTGACATTTACAAATTCATTTGACCAAAAAAGTAGCATGAGTAAAAGGTATGTCATTCATTGAAGACTTGAAAATGGGGAGTGGTCCTTGTGTTGCAATGGGTTAAACTGTCGCTCAGGACGCACACAGTCCATATCATATGAGTGCCAATCCCGCGTCCTGCCACTACGCCTCCAACGCACCTGGAAGGCAGTAAACCATGGCCCTGCCAGTAAACCATGGTACTGCCTGGCCTCAGCCTGGCCCAGCTTTGCAGCCACTGGGGAGTGAACTAACAGATAAAAGATGCTCTCTCTCTCCTTCCTCCCTGTCTCTCTCACATTCTCATTCTCTTCCTTTCTCCCTCCTCTCTACCTAAATATATAAATTTTTGTAAAAGACTTTAAAGTGATTTAAAATTTAATTTACAGGTTTTTAATTTTCCTTTATGACTCATATTGTCTTTTTAAAAATTATCTTTATTTTTGATGATTTTTGCATAGTTGATTAGGGCTACAGGAAGGTGGGTGAGACCACCATTTCCACATACTCCTTTTTCCTTCCTATATCTGGGGGAAGGTGGGAGAGAAGGAGAGAAGCCACACCCAGTTTCACAAATGCCTCTGCACCATGGGATGGATGTTGGGCTCCCTACACCATTCCGGGGTTCCTGGTGTGCGGCATGCTCCGAGGATCCTGCTCCTGAGGTTTTGATAGTTCAGCAGTTCTGAATTACTGCCACTCCAAGCACGATGAAATCTCTCCAGTATCCACTGGATGACATACTCCATCTCTGTTTGCCCAGATCTTAACTGCCCACAACTGGCTGTGGTAGTTGATCAATTTGTTCTGTCCTCTGTCCTCTGTTGTGGTAGCAGGTGTCCTCTGCAGACTCCAATGTACTGCCATATCCTCCATGTGCCCCTGGATATGCTGTCCACTGCTCCGTCTAAGCCACTGAGGAGGCCCAGCTCTGACACATGCTCTCCACTGTCACACCAAGGAACCTGCTATTCTCTCCATGGTTGGGGTTCTGAGTCCAGCAGTTCAGTTGGGGGGATCCCCAAAGAAACTTCATCTGAGGTGATCCCAGAACTGATTCTTAAAGATTTATTTATTTATTGAAAAGTCAGATATACAGAGAGGAGGAGAGACAGAGAGGAAGATCTTCCGTCCCATGATTCACTCCCCAAGTGAGCGCAACGGCCAATGCTATGCCGATCCGAAGCCAGGATCCAGTAACTTCTTCCGGGTCTCCCACGTGGGTGCAGGGTCCCAAAGCTTTGGGCCATCCTCGACTGCTTTCCCAGGCCACAAGCAGGGAGCTGGATGGGAAGTGGAGCTGCCGGGATTAGAACTGGCGCCCATATGGGATCCCGGCACGTTCAAGGTGAGGACTTTAGCTGCTAGGCCACACCACTGGGCCCCCAGAACTGATTCTTGTGTGTGCTTGCCAGTACAGGGTTTGGCACAGTCTGTTGTCCCAATTAGCTTATGCACAGGCTGGTGGTTGCAATTGCTGGGTCAGTTCTGTCTCGAGCCCTGTCTTCTACACAAGCCAATGGGTGTTGCAGCCCAGCCCGATCCTGCCTACATACACTCAGGCTTCCTGTACACCAATGGGAGCTGCAGCCTAGTTGGCAACTCACAATAACTCTCAACAGGCTCACTCCTTGCCCTGGTTCCTGTGCTTGCCAGTATGTCCAACAGAGTGGTCCAGTCTGTCCCACATCCAGTTCAGCTCTCATACATGTCAATGGGCACTGAAGCCTAGTTCAACCCAACCCACACTACTATCCAGCCCAGACACCTGCTGGCAGGTGCCACTCTCTGTCTAGCCATGCCTATTCCAGTCCTGTTTCTCATGCTCAACAGTCGGAGTGGTAACCACTGTTTCTCTACTGGGCCCTCTCCTACTTCCAGATCTTGCACCCTCCAGATGGTTCTGCAGTTTAACTTGACAAAATTTGCTCCCCTGTGCCAGCATCTGCCACTTGCTGCTGTGACCAAGCTCAACCAACCCACACCAGTTCTGGCTTATGCTTGTACAAATAGGAACAGTCAATCCAGCCTAGCTTTCTCCTGATCCAGCCCACATGAGGCCAACTGGTGCTGTGGCCTTGCTCGGTTTGGTCTGCCCCAGCTGTAAATCATGCTCTCTAGTGAGAGTGGTGGTCCAGCAGGGAAGTCCTCCACAGCCTCCCTACTGGGCTTGCCCCCTTTCTCCCCAGGTCTCATGTGTGCTGGTTGGGCACTGCGGCCAGTATGAAATGGCCCACCTCACCTCGGCATTTACTGATGGGTGCTATAGTCTGGCTGTGCCTGGGCCACCCCCAATTCCAACTCATGCTTTAGTCCTGTTGGTTAGCTTCCATTGGTTAGCTTCTGCTGTTGGGGTTTATAGCCTTCCAAGTCCATCTCCCCACGCCCCAACCCCATTTCTGGCCCTCAGCTGAACTGGTTTGTGTTGTGACACAATCCAAACCCGACCCACACCCCATTATGGTACTCTGATTCGCCAACAGGTGATGTGATCTGGCCAGCCTGGTTCACCCCCGACTTGCGCCAAATTTATGCCAGTGGGTGCCATTACCTGGCCTGGTCTGGGTTGTTCCCTATTGTGGTTCTTGTACTCACCAGCAGGGACTGTGTCTCAACAGAGGAGTTCCCCAAGCTCCTCCATCAGAACCTCTCCCAGTGTCAGATCTTGTGCACATTGGAGGATCCATGGACCAGCCCTACTTAGTCCATCTCCTGTCCTAGCAGAAACAGTGGCCTTTCCTGACTGGTCTTCACCCATTCTGGTTTTTACTATGGGGTATTACAGTCCATCCAAGCCTAATCCACACCCAGAGACAGCTCACATATGAATCAGCAGGGGCAGAGACCTAGTCCAGCCCATCCTACACCTACCCCGCTTCTCACAAGCACCAGGGGTGCTGAAGACTAGCCCAGTCTGGTGCACCCCAACCCCAGGTTCACATTTGTTTCAAGGGACACTGCAGCCATGTGCAGACCAGACAGCAGCCCCCACTCTGGCCCTCACACTCACCAGTGTGAACCACAACCCAGACAGGGCATCCCCTTAGCTCCCCAACCAGGCCCATTCCCAGCCATAGATCTTGTGTGTGCCAGTGGTTACTCTGACACAGCTTGGCATAGCCCCTCTCCTGGATTGGCCTTTGGCTTTGGATGCTGTAGTCTGACCTGACCTGGCCTGCCCCCAGTTTCAACTCTTGCTGGCAGGTGATGAAAGCTGGCCCTGCTCAGTCTGCTCCTGTCTCTGGCTCAAACAAACTGATACGTGTGACAACTTAGCATAGCATGACTTGCTCCCCAGCCTGATTCCTGTACTTGCCAGTGAGCTAAGATTTGCCCTGCCCTGCCTGGTCTGCCTTCTTCCAAAACCAGCCCTCCACAGTAGCCAACAGTTGGAGTTACCTTGCCCAGCCTGCCTCACTCCCAGACCTGGACCACATGCTCACCAGTAGGAGCTATGACCCACTAGGGGAGGTTTCCCTGTTTCCTTCACTTGGCCCACTTCTGGACCCATATCCTCATGCTTGCCAGTGGGTGTTAGGCCCTTGCTTGGCACAGCCTGCTACTCCATCTTACACTTGTATGAGCTGGTGAATGTTGCAAACTGGTCCGCCCCACACCCTGTTTTAGGATGCACATGTGGGTGCTGCAGCCTGGACCTACCCAGATTATTCTAGGTCCCTGTACCCATGAGTGTCTGCAGGTTCCCTGGTCAAATCTATGTCATCACCACCCAACACTTGAGCTAACCAGCAGGACTTGTATTTCCACAGGGATTGGCCAATACATTCCCCACAGAATCTATCCCCAGACCTGGTTCTCTCATGTGCTGGTTAGTGTTACAGCCCTGCCCAATGTGACCTGTCCCCTGTTCTGACATTCAGCCAGGTGCTAGGATCTAGCCCTGCTAGACATGTCCCCAGCCCTAGCATGGACTGGCGTGAGGTGGACAGCAATGTTCCATGCTAACAAGTCTGACTCAGGACTCCCATGTGGGCTGGTGCATCAGTCTGATTCATACTGATCTTCCAATGTCTCCCGTCCAAGCCTCCAGGTCTCAGACCCCTCACTTACCTGCAAGAACAGTGGCCTCAACATTGAATGTCCCTCAGGATTTATTCTACATGTACTGTGGCTTTATCCACATATGTCCCTACGCAGTAATTCCAGATCCCCCAGACCCCAGAGCTCCCTGGTAGGTGGTCAGAGGGCAAGCCAATGTGGCGCCGTTATTGTTCGGGTTGCCCGCAAACCCAGGATTTGCCCACTGCTTGGCAGCAGTTGACAAGGAGCTAGGCTCCCCAGCAGGAAACCTGGCCTGGCACTGATTCTCCCAGCCACAGCCATGTGGCCAACAGATTCAGACACTTGCACCTCTGAGCAGATTTACCTGGACTCCATCCCGACTCATGTTGTCTTATTAAAATTTGACTGGAAGGGGTGTCAGGTGTTTGCTGTAATGAAAAGGACTGGGCAGGAAACAAAGCTGGGAATCGGAAATGCCACTGAGGTCTCTCACGTGGGGGACAGGGACTTTATCACCTGAACCATCACCACTGCATCCCAGTGCCTGCAGGAGCAGGAAGCTGGTAGGGGTCAAACCTGGGCACCAGGATGTGGTATGTGGATGTTGTAATAGCTACCTAAATGCTCACCACTGAAAAAATGTTAACTACTAAAAAGCATTTTTTTTTTGTCTAGAAAGTGTGAAAAGTTCTTCAGCTCAGAAATGGAAATGTTTGGGCCTGGCAGAGTGGCCTAGCAGCTTAACTCCTCGCCTTGAACGTGCTGGGATCCCATATGGGCTCCATTTCTAATCCCGGCAGCCCCACTTCCCATCCAGCTCCCTGCTTGTGGCCCGGGAAAGCAGTCGAGGACGGCCCAAAGCCTTGTGACCCTCCACCCAAGTGGGAAACCTGGAAGAGTTTCCTGGTTCCTGGCTTCGGATTGGCGCAGCACCATCCGTTGCGCTCACTTGGGGAGTGAATTATGGGACAGAAGGAAGATCTTCCTCTCTGTCTCTCCTCCTCTCTGTATATCTGACTTTGTAATAAAAATAAATAAATCTTAAAAAAAAGGGGAAATATTTTCAAATGCCTAATTTAGTCCCTGAAGCCAATGACTACCAGAAATTCTATGATTATATTTATGTTTAATACATACATAAATTTCTTCTTCTCAAAGACTCTGTTATATTCTCTACGGACCCTTAAAACCAGAATACATCTTCCCAAACACTAGGAGCCGAACATGCTGAAACATCATGGTGATTACCTTGATCTGTACAGATGAATCACAACCCACACATCCTTTGCTGCGTTTGTGACTTCATTTACATACTGATTTCCAGAAATTTCTCTTAGTTCTCCAAATTTTTGCTTTTTCTTAAGAGCTTTCCATTCCTGTAATCGCTTTTCCCTAATTAAAAAATTGGAATAAATTGCATTAAAAATGATCATATTCCCAAAGTCATTTGCATACACAGTAAGAATGTAGGGCAGTGGACATAATGTCTGTATATGGAAAAATTTTAAATGAAAGGGTAACTATTAATGATCTTATAAAGGCAATTTTTCTTTTTATACGGGGATTAGTGTCATCGTGGGTATTGAAAAGTATAGTATAGTTTGTTATTAAATTTAGCAATTTATTTGAAAATTTATTTTCAAATGATTTTTTATTTAAGGCCAGGCTTTACTCGTAAGTTGGCAGAGCTTATTTGGACGTTGGGCCAGCACGGTCTCACAGGAAGGGTCAGTAAGTTCTTCCTGGAAGAGCGTATCTGTCATGAGTGTGGACTAACTTGCCAAGCACCTTGTTTTTTAAATTTGAGAGGTACAAAGTCGTTGGGAGGGGGTGGTGCTTAGCCACATGCATTAATTTAATCCTTGCATAAACTTGCAGTCATTATTACTATTATTCTCATTCATTTGTTCACAGCATGCTACGTTGACATCCAGTTGAAGGCTTGGTGAGAAGCTGTGATTACATGGAGTGTGCATGCATTGAGAGAGCTGTGAGAGCATGATGACTGTGAGCTTGGACTCATGCCAGAGCAAACCGGGATTAAATGCCCATCCCGTAATAATGGTAGCATGAACTTGGGTAAGTAATCTCATCTCTCCAAACTTGGATTTCCCCAGTTGAATATGGGACTGCTAATAGCTACACACATGTGATTGTTGGAGATACTAATAAGATAGTATTTTGTAAAGTTATTTATCTGTAAACCAGAGTTACAGGGAAAGATACTGAGAGATAGAGAGGTCCTTCATTCACTGGTTCACTCCCCAATTGTGTAAAATGGCCAGGGCTAGGCCAAGCTGAAACCAGAAGTCTGAAGTACATGGTTGCAGGGGCCCAAAGATTTGGCCCATCTTCTGCTGCTTTTCCAGGGCATTGGCAGGGAGCTGGATCAAAAGTGGAGTAGCCAGGGCATGAACCAGTGTTTATGTGGGCTGCCAAAATTGCAGGCGGAAGCTTAACACACTATGTCATGTCAGCACCTAAATTTCTTAGCGTGGTGCCTGGAACACAATGAGGATCCAGTAAGTTTTTTTTAAATTTATTCACCCAGGGAGCAACTCTCAAAATTTGCACATCTACATGATTTAGCCACTGAATCCATGGATTCATGAAACAAATCCAATTAAGTTTTTGGATATTGACTTTTTAAAAGATTTGAAGGGTAGTGTGACACAGCTGGGGAGAGACGGAGGGACGGCCTCTTGCGTCCAGTGCTTCATTGTCTGAACAGCCACAGCAGCCAGGTCAAGCCAAGCCAGAGCCAGGAGCTCCACCTGCGTTTCCCATAGGTGTCAGGGTCCCTTGGGACACCATCCACTGCTTCCGAGGCACCGTGTCTGAGAACCAGATCAGAAGGAGAGCATTTGGGACTTGAATTGATACTCCAGTATGGGATACCAGCTTCATAATGTTGGCTTAAACCATTGTGCCGCAATGTGCCAGTAGCTGGGGTGTGGACATATTTATCTCCCTTCTTTCTATATTTTAGCTCTATTTTCTTGTTTTCTACATTCATAATGCTCCAGTGTCTGGGGTCTTCTTGAACTGGTAGAAATGCCGCTCCCAGAGCTAGCTAGTTGGAAAAGATGGCAAAAACTCATAAACGCAGGCCAAGTAACAGGATCTATGCGCTCAGCCACCTCCCCACTCAGGCTAAGTCACTAACTGGCTCTCTCCTAGTCATCTCAGCATCAGATATCAGATGACCCCTGAAGCTCAGAGCCCACCACAGTTATTCAAGCTAGGCACCCCCAAGATTGCTTACCCTGCTCAGCCTGAGGTTGCCCATGGAAACAGTGATAAAGGCTCATGCCATGCTTTTCCCTTCTGGCTCCTGGCCAGTTAGGCTATCTCCTTGTGTGGCATGGCATATTCGCTCTACCCCTGGGGAACTCTAACAACGCATCTGCTCAGTGACAATTGTCCCCTAACATTCTAACACACTCTGGCCCTGTTTCATATGTCTGGTAAAAGTTCTCATTTTATGTAATGAAGCCAAGTAAAACGAGGCTTAGGGAGTAATACTGAGGAGGAGAGTAACCCAGGCCTAGGGACCTCACACGGTTTCCAGACGCAAGTGCTTCAATGTTCCCTCCATGGCCAAGACATTCAGAGCCTGCAGTTCCCCCAACCATCCTTTGGGAGCTGCACAGTGCTCACATGGGGAATTGAGTACCACTATCACTCACTCTCAGCTTCATTTCACTCACCTTATTTCAACTGTGGCACCACACCTTACTTGATGATAGAACTTCTTTCCTTCCCCTCCGCCACCGCCTCTTTTTCCTTTTGTTGTTTCAGTGGAATTTGGCAGGGATGAGAGCTAAGCACAGGGACTATGTTTGCTGAGAAAGTCACGTCATGTTTGATGATCTACATTTTCCACCCTACAATCCTATCGGTTATGACTCAGCACGGAAAGAGAAAGCCCTCCAAGTTTTGAAGCAGAAAGGAGCTTAACTGGGAATGAAACATTTTACAAACCCAGCGGACAGATGGCAGGAAGGCGCGCTAGCCTGGGCTCCCAGAAATGGCCCCAGAACTCTGCAAAACTGCCAAGGTCTGCCAAGGCATCCTCTGCTGCGACCCAGGCACGGGGCAACCTGCAGCCACCACTCCAAGGCTGCCTGTTACCAAACCACTGTCACTCAGACTGCCAATGGCTGTTGCTAGAAGCCTGGCTCCCTAGGCACAACCTGAGAATAAGAGGTGTTCTCAGAAGAATTGGCTAAAAAATCATGATGCAGATTCCAGCTGGCATCGCATGGGTGCCAGCTGCTCCTTTTCTCATCCAGCTCCCTGCTATTGCACCGAAGACAGCAGTGAAAGATGGCCCAAGTCTTGGGTCCCTGCACTCAGGTGGGAAAGCCAGATGAACTTCCTGGCTTTTTCCTCGCCTTGGCCCAGCTGCGTTGTCCATCTGAGGAGTGAATCAGCAGGTGGAAGAGCTCTTCCTCTCCCTTCTGGAAGAATTCCATCTCTCCCTTTGTCTTTCTCTCTCTGTGTATAACTAAGTTTCAGATAAATAAACCTTTCATAGTTATGGTAGGTTCATAAACCTAGATCATATCCAGTGGGACATGGAAGTTAAATGACCAAATTTCTGAAGTTTGTCCTTAAAACAACCTTGTCACTTTTCATGCTGATCCACTAGAAGTAGAGGATACTAAAATGGCTGGGAACACAGGATTTTTAAATGACACAGCCCCCAAACGCGGAGTCCAGGGCCACTGTCACCCCTGCAGAACCACTGTTCAAGAGCATTGCAGCGTATGTGTCCAAAAGCTGTGTAACCTTTACCACTACCGACTTAAAACCATCAGCAGCAATGACTTCAACCACTCCAAACGGAAGCTGTGCCCATTTTCAGGAACTCCCTTATCTGCATCCCAAGACCTGGTAACCAACAATCCACTTCTGACTGGCTGGTCTTTTGTGACTGGCTTCTTTCCCTTGGTGTGATGTTCTCATGCAGAACAGCCTGACTTGTCACCCACAGGGGCGTAAGGAGGGATGGGGACCTGAGGACTGATCACAACTGCTCTAGCAGCCGTTTCCCAGCCAAGCTTCCCCGGAGCCTCAAGCAGCCAGTCAACTCTAAAGCTCTGAAACAGTCTAGCACTTTCTGCCAGTTCTCTTGTCCAGGCAGTTCTTGGAGCTTCCCACTCTCCCTTCCTTGGTGTCAGCTTCTAAGCTTATTAGTCACTTCTTTATAAGAGTGCTTCAGGGCCTGGTGAAATGGCTCGATTGGCTTATCTTCCCCCTTCAAGCGCTTGGATCCTCATGGGCACCCGTGTGTGTCCCAGCTGCTCCATTCCCATCCAGCTTCCTGCTTGTGGCCATGGGAAACCAGTGAGGACGCTCCTGGCTCCTGACGTTGAATCCATTCAACTCTGACCATTATGGCTGACTGGGGAGTGAACTAGCAAATGGAAGATTGTCCTTTCTCTCCTTGCTGTAAGTCTGTATTCAAATAAAAATAAAACCTGGGTCCGGTGCAATAGCCTAGTGGCTAAAGTCCTCGCCTTGCACACATCAGGATTCCATATGGGCATTGGTTGTAATCTTGGCAGCCCCATTTCCCATCCAACTCCCTGCTTGTGGCCTGAGAAGGCAGTCAAGAATGGCCCAAAGCCTTGGGAACCTGCACCTACGTGGGAGATATGGGAGAGTGTCCTGGCTCCTGGCTTTGGGTTGGCTCAGTTCTGCCCTTGCTGCTGCTTGGGGAATGAATCAACAGACAGATCTTCTTCTCTGTCTCTCCTTCACTCTGTATATCTGACTTTCCAATAAAAATCTTTTTTTAAAATTAAAAAATAAAATAAACTTTAAAAATAACACTCCAAAATTATTTTGTTTAAAAATGTATTCCAGATGACAGAAATTCTTAGCTTCATCCTTATATTCCTTGCTTCACAATTTTTTTTTAAGATTTATTTTTATTGGAAAGTTAGATATACAGAGACGAGGACAGACAGAGAGGAAGATCTTCTGTCTGATGATTTGTTGGGGGCACTGACAATTTCCTGCCCTGTGATTGGCCCTTTGCCCTGATTGGTGTGCCTTGGGTATCTTTCAGCTGATTGGACAGGTTTGACAGATAAGCGGGGAGGCTTGGCGGGGGAGGGGCGTCAGCATAACGGACATAACGGTTTTTAACAGAAGGTCGGAATAAAGCGCCTCGGAGACTCTCTCTCAAGTGTTGGGTGATTTCTTCTGCGGGACAGGAGGACCCCCGATAATGATTCACTCCCCAAGCGGCCACAATGGCCAGAGCTGAGCTGATCCAAAACCAGGAGCCCAGAGCCTCTTTCGGGTCTCCCACGCAGGTGCAGGGTCCCCAAAGCTTTGGGCCGTCCTCAGCTGCTTTCCCAGGCCACAAGCAGGGAGCTGGATGGGAAATGGGACTGCCTGGATTAAAACTGGCATCCATATGGGATCCTGTCGTGTTTAAGGCGAACACTTTATCTGCTAGGCCACTGCGCCATGCCCAATCCTTCACGATTTCTAAATAACCCAAGTGCATAACTTTACCTATATATTTCAATAGCTTGCATATCTTCTTCATCAAAGTCATCTTCAGCTTCCTTCAACTGAGCGAGAGTCATCTTTTCATATGGTTTCACTAAAACATAAATTATGGATCACTGATTAGAAATTATTTCACACTCAATGTCTGAAAAAGAATACCTCAGATAAATGGAGATTAGTAACTTTAAATAAACTGAAAGCACACAGCCACAAAATAGCCTTTTGTATTACATCAGTTATTCTTTTCGTCAAGTTCACAGAACTGGCAGGTTTAATTTTAAAGTAAATGTGAAATGAAATTACACCCCACAAACTTAGATTTTTGCCAAGTACATGGAAATCTTGGCAAAGAACCCATTCAATTAAACAAAATAGAAAATAGTTACAATGTACATGGGGATTGTGAGGTGGGGCCCACTAGGTTATGTTAGGAAAATGTATATGGATATTGTGGGGGAGGGGGCCCACTAGGTTACATGCCAGGACATCTCAGCTCTGCTTCATTTCAATGGTTTTCCTCTTGTGATTCAGTATGTTAGGTGTCGGTAGTCTCATTTAGAAAGAACGGTGGGGTTTAGACTGACTCCCACTGTCCTCTCCCTCTTGGTGTGACTACCACCTTAGGCACACTGTCCCTTCGTCTAGCCCGCCAGAAGCACAGATCTACCCATTGCTTCTTCCTGTAAACGTAGGACCATTTCTTCAATTTCATCTTTTGGTTCTTCTTTTGGAGGAAGAACACCGAAGTCTCTTAAAATTTCATTCCATTCTGTATCTTCATTTGGATCCTATACAAAGACACACACACACACAAATGTGGGGTGGAATTTATCGATACAGTGGTGGTACATTTTAATACGTCCTTTACGTTTTCTATTATTTATTTTTGTTTATTTGAAAAGAGACAGAGATCTTCCAATTGCTGGTTTACTCTCCAAGTATATATTTCTAAAACTAGCTAAGTATGTAGCTCCTTCAGCTAAAGTTATTCGTGACCCTTACAGATAATCATAGTTTAGCGTAATAGAACAAAGTGACTAATATTTTCAAAATTTTATCACTAATGGAAACACATACTTTGATAAGCAGAATATACTCACGTCTATTTTATAGCGAGTTTAATAAAAGTATCAACTTAGAAGAGAATGAAATATTAAGGAAGTAAACTCACAAGTCACAGAAAATTCTTTGACAATTGCAAGGTGGACTCAATTCACATCATGCATAAATAAGGTTTGGTTTCTTTTTTAAGCATTTAAGACCTTCCGGTGAATTTCCTTCGATTTTCAGCTCCCGAGCATCACATGGGACTTTGCTGGGCTCTATCTCACAAGAGGCTAGGAATTTTTCAACAGTTCAGTTTCTACCAACTGTTATTTCCCTTCTATAGAAGTTAACTATTTCACCTCTTTCTGAGTTTTTGACCCTCTAGTTTGCCTTTCCAGCAGGTGTTTACTGTTTTTTGATTGACTGATGTGTTTGTAATCCAGAGAGGACTTAATTCTATCCGTGAGTGAACGCAAAGCCCAGGATCACGCTGTGAACAATCTTGCCCTTTGATGATGAGCTGGAATGGCGGCCTGCCTCTAACAAATGGGAACAGCAAATGGGAAAAAAGTGATTTCTGACAGCACATACCAAAGTCTGCTAACTTGCATCTTGTCAGGCCTCTTCTGTGTCACGTTGTGAAGTAAGAAAACCAGAGAGCAAGCAAAAGGGCGTCCCCGATAAGCTAAAATTGAGATTCTTAGTCAAACAGCCCCCAAAACCTCTGAATCCTGCCAGCCTCCATAGCATAGTGTTTTCTTCCTGCCCGGTGCCTTGCTTGCAAATGCTGCCAGAGGCCTTTGAAGTAGCGTGTCTGTTCATTGCTTGGCTATGTTCTTCAAGATGTTTTTGTCCATAATTTTCTGCAGGTTTGCAGTGATGTACCAAAGTGCATCGTTCATTTGTCCTGCATCAAGTTCCTTGGGCTATACTATAGTAACTTTTAATGCTTCTGAAAAATTAACAAATTATCTCTTCAAATATCTATTATTTTCCCTCACTTCTGAGATGTCAATTAAGCATATGCTACACTTCGTTTGTTCCTTTATTTATTATTATTATTATTATTATTATGATTTTTGCTGGAATCTTTCTTATTTCTGTGCTAACCTAATCAACTCAGTCTCTACTACTTTTTCTTTCTTTCGTTGCAGTTTTTTATTTACTACAATTTTACTTGGCTATCGGAATTTCCTATGTGAAAAAACATGCAAATGTAAAATTTACCATTTAAAAGATTTTAAATACACAATGGCATTTGCATTCATAATATTGTATAAGCATCTCCACTAATCGTTTCTAGAATTTTAATCATTCCAAACTGACTTTCTACTCATTTGTCATTTCAACAAATTCTAATCAAATATCATTATGCAGTACACAGTGTGAAATGGCTTAATCAACTTAACACGTCAACATCTTAAATACTTACCCTGCATTCCTTCTGTATTACTTCAACTTCCCACTTACCAACAGGCCCCCACTCTCTTGAGGCCCCACCCTTTGGTGACCACTCATTCACTGTGTTTTAGATTACGTATATCTAAGAGGTAACGTACAGCTTTTGTGTGCCTATGTCTGGCCTAGTTCACTTAACGTTTTTCAGACTTACCCCATGTGAGCAATCATGGACTTCCCTTCTTGGTAAGGCTGAGTACATCTCCACTTGGTGCACATTTCAGGTCGCTCTGTCTACTGACCAGACGGACACGTGGGTGGCTGAAGCTGGGCTGTGGCTTTCGTCACAGTGCTTCCTTCATTGTGCAGAGCTTTTTTAGTTTGATGTGATCCTCTTTATTTTTACCCGAGTTTTAGGACCAAACCCAAAAGGTAGCCCATATCGTGGCACTTCCCCCGTTTCTCAGTCATTTTACCCTTTCAGGCCCTATTTATAAGTCTTATTCATTTTGCATCTGTGTCTGGGGATAAGGATTCCATTTTATTCCTGTGTTTGTGCTTATTCAATTCCCTCAGCACTAAGAGATGGTTCTTTTTCCATTGTGTGCCCTGGAAATCCTTGACAAATGAATTGAGTGTAAATGTGTAGACTCCCTGGTGGGGTCGGTCAGTATGTCTGTTTTCAAGTCAACACTTTATTATGCTACAGAGTTTGAAGTAGGTAATATTGTGTCTCCAATTTTGTGCTTTTTGTTAGATTGCCTTGGATTTGTGGTGGTTTATGGTTCAATATGAATTTCAGAACTGTTTATTCCTATTTTTGTAAAAAAAATTTCGATAGGCCATGACATAAAACATTGCATTAATCACTACTTTGGGCAGCATGACCATTTTAATAGTATCATTTCTTCTCATCTGTTAACAAGAGTATTTTTCCATTTTCTTGTGTTGTTTTCATTTTCTTTCATCATTATTTATTCATTTACAGACATTTTGCATCCTTACATCTATTTATGAATGTTTCAAGTTTTCTTTATGTCATTCTCAGGGACTTCACTGAAACTGTACAGAACTGCTGCTCACTTTTTAGTGTTGAGTTTTGCATCCTGCCAGTTTCTTATTTCTGATGGTGTTTTGGCAGATACATTAGGATTTGCTATATATACAACTATGTCATCTGTAACAGCAATTATTAGCTGTGATGGCTTCAGTTATGTCAAGCTAGCAGGATGTCCTAAAACAGCTTAGTATCTATTTATTTTTAAATGTTTTATTTATGCTCTATTCATTCAGGATCAGACTTGAAGGAGCCAAAGTTAAGAATATCAATCCAAATACTCAGCATAACATATCAATCTAGCCAGCCATATAAGCAAATAGGTTGGAAAAAGAATATATAAGAGATGCAACAATTATTTTCACAGCAGAACAAACAGGATGAGACAACCAAGATTCAGTATTTATCAAGAAATTTTTAAGATCTTTTTTATCCTAGTTACCAGACAAGATCAGGTGCAGGGATGTTCCAATCAGCCCTAGTAAAGAAGGATGTTGTAATGTGTCTTCCCAGCCATGAGGATAAACTCTATTCGGTGTTTATGCCAATGATTGCTCTCTCTCTTCCTTCCTCCCTCCCTCCCTCCCTTTCTTTTCTTACCTGATTCTATTGCAAAGTCACATCTAGATTGAGAGGGAGACACAGAAAGATCCTCTGTCTGCTGGACCACTCCCAGAGTAGCCACAACACCCAGAGCTGAGCTGATCCGAACCCAGGAGCCAGAACCTTCCTCTGGACCTCCCACATGGGTGCAGGGTCCCAAGGCCTCAAGCCGTCTTCCACCACTATCTCAGGAAACAAAGAGGCTGTACAGCAAGCAGAGCAGTGGGAACAGGAACCAGCGCCACCATGGGATCTCGACACATGCAAGGTGAGGATCCAGCCACATCACACCAGGCCCAAATGATTACTTTCAAAGGCATGTTCTTACAAAGATGCAATGTTAGAGAGGGCTTCTCATTCAGCGTGTTCTGAGATGGGAACAGTCTCATCAATAGTTGCATCAATAGAATTGATCCATGCAGTAGGTGTAAGATAGGAATGAACTGTAGGTGATGAGTTCCCTATAGCAGTTAAGAATGATTATTCATTGTCATTAATAATATTCCTTAAATACAATTAAATTGTATATTTACATTTGCATGCATTTAGATATCTGATTAGGAAGTCTTAGTGTTCTTTTGAACAACACGTTCATGCACCATTGCCAAGTCTTTTACAAGCTTTAGAGATTCAATTTCCACAAAGGGGAATTCTTAAATACAATATCAATGATTGCATAGTAAAACATACAATCTCTGAAAATGTGTGATATAGGAAGGAAAAAAAGAGAATGTAGAATGGTGATCTCACCCACTTCCTGTAGCCCTTGGCCTTTATCACCCTAATCAACTAAGTAAAAATCATCAAAAAATTTTGAAAAAGAAAATGTATGTATCATGTTTCTTGGTATCAAACAACCTTGCATCCAAGATGGCCTTTTGACTGTAATAGACGTCCTGTTGTGGGATGTAATAGGAGCTTAATAAATGCAATATATTAGATTGGGAATCAAGTAAAAAAAGATCAAAACACATTGCCATTTGAAGCACATCTTGGGGGTCCAGAATAATACAACTGAAACAATGTCTCTGTTCCACTGGCTTGTCTGTGAAAATTCATTTATCATCTGTTGTATGTTTGGCAGCGTCTTTAACAAGTGATATATTCTCACAGAAGTACTGTATAATTTTTGTTGAACAATCATGTTAAAATGCATATATCTGCCTACTTAATACCTATACTAATTTTTCATTTTTTCTTCAGTAGCTTGGTAGTTCAAGTAAGAAATTTCTACCTATTTTCATGTGATTGGATAAGGGAGTTAACCTTAGTAACAGACCCAGACAGCGATTCCAAATCATGCTGTTTCCTCCAAAAACTGTTGCTGATGGGAAATGCTGATTCCAAACCATCTCTGCTCAGACATTTTACCTTTTCACTTTTCCTCTTTTTTTAAGTATTTATTTTTATTGGAAAGGCAGATCAGATTTATGCAGAGAAGGAGAGACAGAGAGAAAGATCTCCTGGTTCACTCCCCAAGTGGCCACACGGCTGGATCTGAGTCGATTTGAAGCCACGAGCCAGGAGCTTCTTCCAGGTTCCCATGCACGGGCAGGGTGCCAAAGCTATGAGCCATCCTTGACTGTTTTCCCAGGCCACAAGCAGGGAGCTGGATGGGAAATGGGCAGTCAGGACCCAAATCAGCTCCCACATAAGATCCCAGCGCTTGCAAGTCAAGGATTT